ACATGGACATGGACAGAACCCTATCGCTTCGCTTCTTCCTCTCTGATGGCGCTGCCCCATGGTATAACAGAAGATGCCATTTGCAAGGATAGAACGTGTGCTATCTTTCCATTTCTATGCCAAAACCCACAGCCACAAAAGACAACCTCCCCGTTCCTCTGTGATATATGCAAGTCATCAGACCTGACTGTATGAAAGAGATTATTTTTGGAGATCACTTTTGGAGAGAACTTCATATGAAATACATTTTGAGGAGGCCCAAAGGCTGGTTTATGTTGTCGAAACATTGACAGTTTATTTGGGAGCCACTTCCAAACCATTACATACTAAAATGTTTAGGTAATCCAGACTTCCAGGTCCTCAAAGATTTTAATAATACATTTCAATGGAAACATAGCTCAAGTACAAGTAATGCACACCAACACAGGTTTTCTGTGGTAAGAATATTTACTACATATTGAACGGTCCAATAAGGCACACAACAACATGATCATGGGTGAAAGTCTTGATATCAGAAACAAACTGAATATGACAGAAATTTCAGAAAAATTACAAAATACAAAACTTCATGTTAATGGTAAATGATAAAATCCTAAGAGATATGTTTTCTAATGCAGTGATCTCATGACCAATATACATATTTTAGTTCTACCAGTAAAGTTGATGATGATATTATGAGTAATGGGTGGTTGCTGGTAACAATATGTGCCGTGAAGGCAAGGCAATTCACAAGAAGGCTAATCTCTCATGGATAGTCAAACATAGCCTACTACACGTTCTGTAATTGTTGATGATATATGGGTAAGCGACATGAGTAAGCGCAAGTAAATACAGCAAGAATGCATTTGTTTCACAGATGGTTTTTTATCCTGGAAGTCAGACCAAATGTAATAGCAATGTGGAGTCACCAGGATAGATGTCTGAAAGATATACAGTTGAAGTCGGAAGTTTACATACGCTTAGGTTGGAGTCATTAAAACTCGTTTTGCAACCACTCCACAAATTTCTTGTTAACCAACTATAGTTTTGGCAAGTCGGTTAGGACATCTACTTTGTGCATGACACAAGTAATTTTTCCAACAATTGATTACAGACAGATTATTTCACTTATAATTCACTGTATCACAATTCCAGTGGGTCAGAAGTTTACATACATGTCATGAGAATTTCTATCTCTAATACTAAGCTTTGAATAATTCCCAGAGGTTGTAAGACTGTAGTTAATTAAGAATTAAACAAATTCTCCAGTCTGCAAGAGATCAGCAATTTTTTTATTCAGAGCGCGCTCTGGCGCTAAAAACACACACAGCCTTTTTATATGCGTCCACACAAAGGACTTTGCTCCGCCCACCTTTAGGCGGCCTGTAACTTTCCACAGTATAGAATGTTTCAGCAGTTTCTAGGTCCCCTTACTATGGAATGCTCGTCTCCAACAGTTTCTAACATCTTCCCTGTTAGTGGTTCTATTTTCTTATAACTCTAACACAGTTTACACATTTATACACTATCGGGGTGGAACACTTTAGTCATTAAAATAAACATACAAATTCATCTATGAATACACTAAGTTGACTGTGCCTTTAAACAGCTTGGAAAATTCCAGAAAATGATGTCATATAATAATAATATGCCATTTAGCAGACGCTTTTATCCAAAGCGACTTACAGTCATGGCTTTAGAAGCTTCTGATAGGCTAATTGACATCATTTGAGTCAATAGGAGGTGTACCTGTGGATGTATTTCAAGGCCTACCTTCAAACTCAGTGCCTCTTTGCTTGACATCATGGGAAAAAAAAATAAAAATCAGCCAAGACCTCAGAAAAAAAATTGTAGACCTCCACAAGTCTGGTTCATCCTTGGGAGCAATTTCCAAATGCCTGAAGGTACCACGTTCATCTGTACAAACAACAGTACGCAAGTATAAACACCATGGGACCACGCAGCCGTCATACCATTCAGGAAGGAGACGCGTTCTGTCTCCTAGAGATGAACGTACTTTGGTGTGAAAAGTGCAAATCAATCCCAGAACAACAGCAAAGGACCTTGTGAAGATGCTGGGGGAAACAGGTACAAAAGTATCTATATCCACAGCAAAACAATTCCTATATCGACATAACCTGAAAGGCCGCTCAGCAAGGAAGAAGCCACTGCTCCAAAACCGCCATAAAAAAGCCAGACTACGGTTTGCAACTGCACATGGGGACAAAGATCGTACATTTTGGAGAAATGTCCTCTGGTCTGATGAAACAAAAATAGAACTGTTTGGCCATAATGACCATCGTTATGTTTGGAGGAAAAAGGGGGTTGCTTGCAAGCCGAAGAACACCATCCCAACCGTGAAGCACGGGGGTGGCAGCATCATGCTGTGGGGGTGCTTTGCTGCAGGAGGGACTGGTGCACTTCACAAAATAGATGGCATCATGAGGAAGGAAAATCATGTGGATATATTGAAGCAACATCTCAAGACATCAGTCAGGAAGTTAAAGCTTGGTCGCAAATGGGTCTTCCAAATGGACAATGACCCCAAGCAGTTGTGGCAAAATGGCTTAAGGACAACAAAGTCAAGGTATTAGAGTGGCCATCACAAAGCCCTGACCTCAATCCTATAGAAAATGTGTGGGCAGAACTGAAAAAGTGTGTGTGAGCAAAGAGGCCTACAAACCTGACTCAGTTACACCAGCTCTATCAGGAGGAATGGGCCAATATTCACCCAACTTATTGTGCGAAGCTTGTGGAAGGCTACTCGAAACGTTTGACCCAAGTTAAACAATGTAAAGGCAATGCTACCAAATACTACTTGAGTGTATGTAAACTTCTGACCCACTGGGAATGTGATGAAATAAATAAAAGCTGAAATAAATCATTCTCTCTACTATTATTCTGACATTTCACATTCTTAAAATAAAGTGGTGATCCTAACTGACCTAAGACAGGGAATTTTTTACTAGGATTAAATGTCAGGAATTGTGAAAAACTGAGTTTAAACTTCCGACTTCAACTGTATGTCTGACCCTCTTTAGCAAGATATGCTGGTTCTCTTACTGAAATAGTATTTCCTGCCATGCGGCTTAACGTTAACTCAGAAAGTTAGTCACTGTACAGCCATATGTGGTGTTGGATAAGGGCATGCTGACTGCTATCCCAACCACAAAAATAAATTAGTTGGATTCAAAGTTAGTCTGAAATCAGTTATTGTACCTTTCCAGACAATTTTTTTTCAATATTCAATCCACTTCTAAATAATATTCCAGACAGTTACAGTAAATGGACAATCAGTGTTAACATGAGGCCAAGTGAAAGGAAATAATTGTCTTTGACACCAAATATTTCTTCACTTACTATCAAGCTATTTGATGGATAACTTCTTGTAAATGTTGGTACTGTATCAGAATATTGTTATTATTGACAAACCAATTTACCCCAGGGGATGTAATTTTTTCTTATCCTATCAAAGTAAAGAAAGAAAAAGAAAAAAAAAACATACAAAAGGAAAATATTTTGACCAGTTTCATGATTTGATACACACATAACATTGAGCAAAGTCCTGGTAGAGTAATACAATAACTGTTAATGTTGAGGATTAAGAGTGATAAATATGAATTGAGAGCTGATTAAATGTTTATGAGGAGCATTATGAACTTGTTACAAGGCTAGCTATGTTGTCATAAAACTGCAATACTGTACTTATAATTGTACTAATAAAAAACAATAAAACATTACAAAGAAACACCAGTTAACATTCATTTAATTTTGTCGATGAGTTTTCTTCAATGTGAGATTTAGAAAACATGTTGTACAGATCTCGCCACGGCAGCAATGTATGATTCTGGTAAAACATGTTAGGTCTTGCACATATGATCCAACATAATGTTCTCAATAAGTAATTAGCAAGTTTAGGCTATTGCAATATTGTTATTGCACGCGATGCACCATACCTCAAGCGTGTTCTGGCTAGGAGCAGGACAGGTGTAACTGTTATGTGTACTGAGAGCATATGTAAAAAAACATATCTACATAAAAAAGACAGGTGAAGTTGATTCACCACTGTATTTACATTTATGAAAATGTTGCCTAGTAAGTTGACTGAGAGCATGTGTTATTAGCTTCCAGTGAACATGCTTTAGGCCTGGCATGACATTTACACCTTGTGCTCCAGGCCAGAGCTCGCTCTAGGACAGATATGATCGTTTCACCTCTAGGCCAGAGCTCGCTCTAAGACAGGTATGATAGTTGCAACTCCAGGCCACAGTACGCTCTAGGACAGGTATGATAGTTGCATCATGTGCAACAATTGTCACGTTTTGCAATTCACCATAACCAATTATTTCAATTACCTAAAAATTGGTGCTTTATAAAGGGTGACAGTGCAATGCAGACATTAGATTTATGTGACATTGCTTGTCTTGATGAAAGCCCCCAGATAGGGCAAGTCATGTAATGTGCTACATAAAGCCTATGTCGTAGTTTGTTTAAAGAGGGACCGTATTGGTTTGTGTTGCATTGCATTGTAATGTATCCGAGATGCCACTAAGATTAATTATATGCTGAATGTACTTCTCTTACACTAGGCAAACACAATTCATACCCACATGTTTAATTTGCAATACAACATAAGAACATACAGTAAATGTAGTGATATTTTCCTGTCATTGTAGTGGCCAGTTAAAACAGAATGGTACAACTAGAGTCCAGTAACTGTCATATAACAGAATCATATAACACTCCTCTTTATACAGTAACACAGTTCATGCTTTCCTTCTGTTCTGGATAGTTCAGAATCTGTGAAAAAAGATACACGTATAAGATTGTAGTTGATAACCTATGGAAAATGACTGAAAACATAAAACATTCATGTGTAAAATACAGTCCATACTATAAAGTTACATGCAACACAAACATACATGAAATGATGTTAGAAAACAGCCAGACATAAATACAGGCCAGCTGTAGATGGTGCAGAGTGATGTCATCATTACAGACAAACTTACCAAACTCAGAGCTCAAACCTCAGTTGACTTTCCAATGACCGCATTTTGAACCTGTGGGGAAAATGACCAGAACATCAGTTCATGCCTCCCACTGACATCATAGCATGATTCTTTTTTTTTAAAGGTTAACTTTTTTATGCTTTATTTAAACGGTACATATGTAGTTGGGGATAGAGATGAAGAGGGGAGACACAGGAGGAAAGGCAGACCTGGTGTCCGGTGCACAACATCAACGCATGGTTAAGTGAACATCTGACTTAGGATTCAGCCTAATAGCATGATATTCATGGGAAATTGAAAAGCTCATGGTTAGTCTCAACCCACACCTTGGGAGGATCCTTAGTCAGGCCCGGTGGTTTGGTGTGGGAACGAGGGTGAGGTGGTTTTTACTGTAGACCAGATGGGACTCTTGGCTTTGTGGGTCATTGTCTTCAGGTCTGCGGGCTAGCGCCTCCTTCAGGCTGACGACGGAGGAGGCAGAGCTGCTGAAGCCGCCGCTCACGCTCTCTCCCGAAGACTCGGAGCTGTCCACTGGAATAGGAAGGAAAACTTTAAGACTAGTGTCCAAATTCTAATCTGAAAGGATTAAGTGGCTGTACACACCAGGGTCCATATTCTTAAACCATCTCAGAGTAGGAGTGCTTATTCATTCTGATTTAAAAGAATAAACTGATCCGCTTTATGCCTGGAAGTTCTCTGTCTTTAGTTACATCATATAGTAGAACATAGAGCCCCTCTTATGTTAACAGTAAAGCACACATGGAATTTATTGCCTGGCTGGCAAAAGCCCATTTGACCAGATTTGGTCTGTGTTGAGGCATCCACAGTAGCCAGACAGTAAAACAGACAGCCCTCCTCCAATTAATTTCTATCAAGTTACAGCTAATATAATACATTTCTTCACAATTTAAACACTCAAATGCTATTTTGAAAACAGAGAAAACAAGCAAGATTGACTAGAGCTGCTGTAGCTTCATCCCCTCAGTCGATATTAGACTTATCATTCCACAAACACGTCATATAGCAATTAGCTGCAACGCACTAGTTTAACACCAGGATTAAAAACTGTACTTTAGTTTAATGTGAAGTCAAACAGCAGTTACCTAGACACCTACAGCAATCTTCCACCTCTGCACTGTTTTAAGAGAAATATTGTGTTGTTGACAGCAGATGCTTCGGCTTGACGTGAGGAAGAGAGTCTGACACATGAGACTTAAAGTGATAGTTCACCCAAATTATAACAATTACATTTGTTTCCTTACTCTTTAAGCAGGATTTGGACAAGGAGAGACAACAATTAATGCTTTGGTTTTCTTTACCTGGTTGCTGTCACCAAATGATAACTTAAGCACTTTCATCGAAAGACCAATACAAGTCAATATCCCTCAAATTAGCATGTTTTACATTTCAAACACGCTACCTTCCTTATTAAAGCCACTCACTCAGTAGATTCTGACTCCCGCTCTCCTGGTCCATGTCATCCTCCTCCAGGACCCCAGGGCGCTCCGAATACCCCCCGTGACCCCCAGCCGCCCCCCTCAGCTTTGGGCCGCACAGGTACCCCGCCACTGGGGAGGACAGGGACCCTCTCCCCGAGGAGGAAGAGGAGTGGCTGCCGGAGGTCGACAAACAGCTCCCCGAGCCAAAGGAGTTTGGCTGCAGCACAGGAAACCCGCCCAGCGAACCAGACGTCCCCGAGGGGGCAAATGCCTTGGATTCTGGGAGGGTCAGATGAGATCAAATTGTACGAGACGGGACAGGACGGGATTGAGACAACAAGAGAATTGCCAAAGAAGGAACAACTAGGACTTGGGAAAAACATCTATGATAGTGTTAATTTCTTAATCTGAATATCCGTTCCATTCATAGTCTAATTACAATATTAGATGAATTTGATGAATTAACGCGTAATAACAATGGGATTAATTGAATTCCAATGGCATTAAACTTGTCCTAATATAATCTCTATAGTATGCTACGGCTTTGTACCTCTTCCCATCAGAGCACAGTTGACTGCCCTGTCGTTGATGGCCGCATCACTAGGCTGGATATCCATGAAGGGCTTGTTCCCGATACCCATGAACACCCTCTCCTGCATATAGATCTCTGGAATAAAGCAACCACAATAATAACATTAAAACATTGACCTAGATGAACTGTCAGAGCTCTACTATTCTTGGAGCGAGGTACAACATGTTACCATAGACAGAAATAAGTAGACTGCAGGGCTCTCCAACACTGTTCCTGGAGAGATACCCTGTAGGTTTTCACTTCAACACTGTTCCTGGAGAGATACCCTCCTGTAGGTTTTCACTTCAACCCTGATCCTGGAGAGCTAACCATCATGTAGGTTTTCAGTTCAACCCTGATCCTGGAGAGATACCCTCCTATAGGTTTTCAATTCAACCCTGATCCTGGAGAGATACCCTCCTGTAGGTTTTCACTTCAAACCCTGATCCTGGAGAGATACCCTCCTATAGGTTTTCACTTCAACACTGTTCCTGGAGAGATACCCTCCTATAGGTTTTCACTTCAACCCTGATCCTGGAGAGATACCCTCCTGTAGGTTTTCAGTTCAACCCTGATCCTGGAGAGATACCCTCCTATAGGTTTTCACTTCAACCCTGATCCTGGAGAGATACCCTCCTATAGGTTTTCACTTCAACCCTGATCCTGGAGAGCTACCATCATGTAGGTTTTCGCTCCAACCCTAATCTAGCGTTCCTGATTCTATAATTATTATTCTTCTATTCTGTGTTTTTCCCCCCCCTAATCTAGCGCTCCTGATTTTTTTACCCATACACCACCTCCCCTCAATTTTTTGTTTTGTTGTTACATGTACATTCTACACACATTTTACATACATGGCACTTTTTTTAACAGTAGTTACAGAGCAAGAATAAAGTAATTTGATATTTTTATATACATTACATCTGGATAGATAGTACTTATACATTATACATAGTGTTTTCAGTCATAACTATTATGGAACATGAGCTTTTAAACCCACCACTTAGCTACTCTCAGTCCATCCCACCTATCTACCTCTGTAAAGCACCCTCTTATGATTTCCATGTGCCATATATCTTTCAACTGTGCTGTGAGGCGTCACATTAACTCTGAACCTGTCTAATCGCATTGTATCTACAGACTAAGTTAAAGATAAATATTTTGACTAAAAGTATTATTATATTGTTGATTGATTGACTATGGCTTTTCAAATCTCCCAACAGTGCTATTTGTAGGGTTAATTTGAGATAAATGTTGTGGTTTTTTAACCATTCCTGAACCTGTGACCAGAAACAAGCTACATAGGGGCAATACCAGAATAAATGATCTAGTGATTCTGTCTCTTCGCAGCAAAATTTGCAGAGCTGAGATGGTTGTATGCCCCATATTCATAACATTCTGTTTATGGCAAGAATGATGTATAATAATTTAAATTGAAAAACACTACGTTTTGAATCAAGAGTTGTTTTGCGTATCAGTTCATAAACCATGTGCCACAGAATCGGCACATCGAAAATCTCTTCCTAACTAGTTGTAACCTGTATGGTGCCGCTTTCAACATTTTGGTCCTCAAATAAAACTGTTATATTTTTGTATTTATGTTTATTTTTAAATGGTGCCAATTTTGGGCTTTAATGAAGGAAAGACAAACAAGTCACCTGTTACCTACCTCCTCCCCCTTCCCCCTTCCACTTCCTGGTTCTAATAATCAGCTGGTTGATAAACTGAATCAGGTTAGTTACAACTGAAGTTTGGATCGAAAACCTACAGGAGGGTAGATCTCCAGGAACAGGTTTGGAGAGCCCTGAAGTAGAGGGAGCTCATTGTAGCCTTACCTATGTCCCAAATGGGATGAAAATGATTTAGTAAGCAAGTAATTGACCTACTAGGGAACACAATAAGAAAACTCAAACATTGAACAAGTCTCAATCCCACCAGTGTGTCTTGGACATTATGTCAGCACTTTAATGTAGAACTATGTTGCAAGAGCGTCCCGTCAAGACCCTCCCTTCTTCCACTTAAAGTCCTACAATCGGATTGGTTGCTTGCCAAGTACTGGCAAGTGATGCGAGCTGTACACCAGTAGCCTGTAATGGCTTATTTTCATTATCTGTTCCACATGACCACAGTTGAAAGTGGTGGTTTAAATGTCATTGCTTAACGCATCAACTCTTTTCAGATCAGTGGGAGTGTGGGAAAATATAGTAGGTTGATCTCTGTGGCTGTATCTGAAAACTTTACAAGCTGGCAAATCCTTTCTTCCTCTGTTCTTGTGTTATTGTGCATTGGAGATGATTCATAGTCTTTCCATGGGAGCGTCACCTCTAATGCCCTTTGAGAGGAATTGAGAAAATAATGACAGAGCAAGCAAGGATTTGACTGCTAGTAACGTTTTCAAATACAGACCAGATCATCTTAGGACACGAGAGATCTGATTGGCTGGTTAATCTCAGGGGTGACCTCTGACCTCTGTTGTGTACAGCCTGCTCCCAGAGGATGCGCTCAAGGTCTTTGGTCCAGGCATCCTTGACCTCTCTGTTGCTGGCCTGCAGGGTGTACGTGTCCTGGGACTTCCTCCTTCTGAACCAGATCTCAAAGCACAGCCCGCTGTCCCCTGAGTTATGGGTCATCCCAATGTCAGAGGTCTGTCAGAATAGAAAACATGGTCTTTAAAATAAATACAACTTGTAAAGGCTTATGAAGTCTTCATAAACCCTTTATAAGGCATACAAAAGCCTATACATGGATATTGCAGTGTTCGTATCTTCTTATTTTTTGTTTAGAAAGTAATCACCCTAGACAGACGGGTTTCCTTCTTCATTTACAAACAGGGTATGTGTCAACGTACAGTGAATCATATACAGTTTTGCTACACATTAGAGGAGGTGGCCTGTAAGTTAAACTGTAGGAGTGTAGCTAGCTAAAATGGGAAATTCCACATATTACTTTTCATGTGACACAAGGCCTCCACAAGGCCCTTTTATGACTTGAGCATGTGTTTCAATGATTTCAAAGGAAGGTAGCTTTGGCTCAAGTTTCACATTGGGATATATTATGCTGTGTTTCGTACAGAGAGTCTGCATACCTTGAATGACTGTTTATATACATAAGTGTCATTGCCCACAACGGTCCTCTTAGTCTTGCTGAAGAGGACAAGGTCCTGGAAGAGGAAGATGTGGCGGAAACACTTTTTCTTCCTGAAGAACACCAGGAACTCGTCCTGACGAATCAGCTGCCCCTGCTCCTTCAGGTTGACCTACAAGAGAAGAGAGATGACATTGAGGGCGGGATGTATTCTGTCAGGATGCTTATGTGGTAAGATGAACCCTTTTTAGTACATTGACATTTGACCTTATACTGTATTCATCCCATGATAGGAACTAACTAAGAAGTGTTTTAATGTTCCGAACGACCTCACGAATGTGGTAGATCGATGATATTTGGGTCAGGTGAGTAAATAATTTGGCCAAAGTGAGAAACCTGAAAAAAAGTTTTAAAACTATACTGTATGACCGGAAGGGTCAAACTTGTATATTTATCTTCTTACAAGCTTGATAACGGAAGATAACACAAAAAGGGAGAAAATATAAACATCCGAACGACCTCACAATTGTGGTTTACAGTATTGACTACAGATGGTTATTTGGGTCATGGCAATTTTTCCAATGTGGGTCGGCTGAACGAAAGATTGAAAACCAATGTATAGGGCTATGACCAAATAGTATGTTTAACCGTGTAGTATGTTAACCATATATAGTCATTATATAGTCCACACCTCTTGTGCCTTTTTGTCCCTAGTGTTGGAGGTACCGTCACCTCTAACATCAAACCAAGATGGCGTAGTAGTGCAGTTCTGTTTTCGTCGTGTGTCTGTAAATAGCCTGTAAATACCCGTTTTTTTTTTTTTTTTTTCGTACATATTTCCCTCTCAGACTTTTCATCATTCTACAAAATATACTTTCCTGCAACCCGCCTCACTCAATGTGGAACGGATTCTATTATTGACTTACCTTTTATCTAGAATCTCCAGTTGAAACTAGCTAGCCAGCTAACTAGCTACTTGCTATTAGCCACCGTTAGCGGAATTTCACCCAGAACATTGGATTTTTTTTCTTTTTCTGCGGGATTATTTTAATCACTGGACATTAATCACCGGATCGCAACTAGCTAGCCGCAACCGAATGGATGTTGCTGTCTGGCTAATCACCACTGCCCCCGATGCAAGCACCAGTTAGCCTCGAGCTAGCCTAGAGCCAGGCTCATATCTACCTCTAGGTCTACCGGGCGGGAGTAGCCAGCTAACTAGCTACTTGCTATCAGCTACCGTTAGCGGTTTTTCACCATTGTCCGTGGCCTGCACCACTCACCAGCCAGCTCTAGTCTGGACTATTATTCGGCCAGTCTGCACGGTGCGTTATCGACCCAGAACATATCAGTTTTTCTGCCTGGAATCACTGAATCACTGGACCTTTAACTCCGGATTCATCGCTACCAGCTAGCTGCAACAAAATGGACGTTGTGGTCTGGCTAATCATCCTGAGCTAGGCCCATCTCCCGGCTATCTACCTCTCTGTCAACCGGACGGGACCACCTAGTGTTGACACGGAGCCCCGCCGATCCTACACGACTGGTATGCCGACGAAATCGTCTGATGTGGTTACGACGTCGACCACGAAGATTACATCTGCTAGCCCCGGCCCGCTAGCACACGCTAGCCATGGCCTCTTACTCGCTAGTGCTTTAGCAGCCTCTGAACTATCCTATTGCTGTCACCTGACCTTATGATAACTCAGCTATACAGCTGATGTCTGCTGGACTGTTCCTTTTTACGGTACTGCATCCTGTTTATGTTTAGCCTCAGCCCAAACTGTGTCATCATTACCAGCTGTTGTCTTAGCTCTCTCAAATTACACCTGTGATTGCTTTATGCCTCTCTCCCTTGTCAACATGGTTAGCTTATTGTTGTTTCGGTTATTTCTAATTGTACTATTTCACTGTAGATCCCCCAGCCCAGCTAAACCTGCCTTAGATAGCTCCTTTGTCCCACCCCCCATACACGCAGAGACCGACTCAATTGGTGCCTCCAGTGATGCTATCTCTTTCATTGTTACCCAACGCTTAGGTTTACCTCCACTTTACTCATATCCTTCCATATCCTTGTCTGTACATAATGCCCTGAATCTTTTCTACAACGCCCGGAAATCTGCCCCCTTTATTCTATGTACCCAACGCACTAGAATACCAGTTCTTAAAGCCTTTAGCCGTATCCTTATTCTAGTCCTCCTCTGTTCCTCTGGTGATGTAGAGGCTTACCCAGGCCCTGCAGCCCTCAGTATCACTCCTACTCCCCAGGCGCTATCATTTGCTGACTTCTGTAATCGCAAAAGTCTTGGTTTCTTGCACGTAAATATCAGAAGTCTACTTCCTAAGTTTGAGTTATTCACTGTGTTAGCACACTCCGCCAACCCTGATGTTCTAGCAGTGTCTGAATCCTGGCTTAGGAAGGCCACCAAAAATTCTGAAATTTCCATCCCCAACTATAACATTTTCCGTCTAGATAAAACTGCCAAAGGGGGTGGAGTTGCAATCTACTGTAGAGATAGCCTGCAGAGCTCTATCATACTATCCAGGTCTGTGCCCAAACAGTTTGAGCTTCTACTTCTAAAAATCCACCTTACCAGAAATAAGTCTCTCACTGTTGCCGCTTGCTACAGACCCCCCTCAGCCCCCAGCTGTGCCCTGGACACCATATGTGAATTGATTGCCCCCCATTTATCCTCAGAGTTCGTACTGCTCGGTGACCTAAATTGGGATATGCTTAATACCCCGGCAATCCTACAATCCAAACTAGATGCCCTCAATCTCACGCAAATTATCAACGAACCTACCAGGTACAACCCTAAATCCGTAAACATGGGTACCCTCATAGATATCATCCTGACTAACTTACTCTCTAAATACACCTCAGCTGTCTTCAACCAGGATCTCAGCGATCACTGCCTTATTGCCTGCGTCCGTAACGGGTCCGTGGTCAAACGACCACCCCTCATCACTGTCAAACGCTCCCTAAAACACTTTAGCGAGCAGGCCTTCCTAATTGACCTGGCCCAGGTATCCTGGATGGATACAGATCTCATTCCGTCAGTAGAGGATGCCTGGTTGTTCCTTAAAAGTAATTTCCACTCAATCTTAAATAAACATGCCCCATTCAAAAAATACAGAACTAAGAACAGATATAGCCCCTGGTTCTCCTCAGACTTGACTGCCCTTGACCAGCACAAAAACATCCTGTGGCGTACTGCATTAGCATCAAATAGCCCCCGCGATATGCAACTTTTCAGGGAAGTTAGGAACCAATATACACAAGCAGTCAGGAAAGCAAAGGCTAACTTTTTCAAACAGAAATTTGCATCCTGTAGCACTAACTCCAAAAAGTTTTGGGACACTGTAAAGTCCATGGAGAATAAGAGCACTTCCTCCCAGCTGCCCACTGCACTGAGGCTAGGAAACACTATTACCACCGATAAATCTACAATAATCGAGAATTTCAACAAGCATTTTGCTACGGCTGGCCATGCTTTCCACCTGGCTACCACTACCCCGGCCACCAACTCTGCACCCTCCGCTGCAACTTGCCCATGCCCCCCCCCGCTTCTCCTTCACACAAATTCAGACAGCTGATGTTCTGAAAGAGCTGCAAAATCTGGACCCCTACAAATCAGCTGGGCTAGACAATCTGGACCCTTTCTTTCTAAAACTAGCCGCCGAAATTGTCGCAACCCCTATTACTAGTCTGTTCAACCTCTCTTTCGTAACGTCTGAGATTCCCAGAGATTGGAAAGCTGCCGCGGTCATCCCCCTCTTCAAAGGGGGTGACACTCTAGATCCAAACTGCTACAGACCTATATCCATCCTGCCCTGACTTTCGAAAGTATTTGAAAGCCAAGTTAACAAACAGATCACCGACCATTTCGAATACCACCGTACCTTCTCCGCTATGCAATCCGGTTTCCGAGCTGGTCATGGGTGCACTTCAGCCACGCTCAAGGTCCTAAACGATATTATAACCGCGATTGATAATAGACAGTACTGTGCAGCCGTCTTCATCGACCCGGCCAAGGCTTTCGACTCTGTCAACCACCGCATTCTTATTGGCAGACTAAATAGCCTTGGTTTCTCAAATGACTGCCTCGCCTGGTTCACCAACTACTTCTCAGATAGAGTTCAGTGTGTCAAATCGGAGGGCCTGTTGTCTGGACCTATGGCAGTCTCTATGGGGGTGCCACAGGGTTCAATTCTTGGGCCGACACTTTTCTCCGTGTATATCAATGATGTCGCTCTTGCTGCTGGTGACTCTCAGATCCACCTCTACGCAGACGACACCATTTTGTATACATCTGGCCCTTCATTGGACACTGTGTTAACAAACCTCCAAACGAGCTTCAATGCCATACAACACTCCTTCAGTAGCCTCCAACTGCTCTTAAACACTAGTAAAACTAATGCATGCTCTTCAATCGAACGCTGCTGGCACCCGCCCACCCGACTAGAATCACCACTCTCGACGGGTCTGACCTAGAGTATGTGGACAACTACAAATACCTAGGTGTCTGGTTAGACTGTAAACTCTCCTTCCAGACTCACATTAAGAATCTCCAATCCAAAGTTAAATCTAGAATCGGCTTCCTATTTCGCAACAAAGCCTCCTTCACTCATGCTGCCAAACATGCCCTCGTAAAACTGACTATCCTACCGATCCTTGACTTCGGCGATGTCATTTACAAAATAGCCTCCAACACTCTACTCAGCAAATTGGATGTAGTCTATCACAGTGCCATCCGTTTTGTCTCCAAAGCCCCATACACTACCCACCACTGTGACCTGTACGCTCTTGTTGGCTGGTCCTCACTACATGTTCGTCGTCAAACCCACTGGCTCCAGGCCATCTATAAATCACTGCTAGGCAAATCCCCGCCTTATCTTAGGTCATTGGTCACCATAGCAGCACCCACCCGTAGTCTGCGCTCCAGCAGGTATATCTCACTGGTCATTCCCAAAGCCAACACCTCCTTTGGACGCCATTCCTTCCAGTTCTCTGCTGCCAATGACTGGAACGAATTGCAAAAATCTCTGAAGCTGGAGACTCTTATCTCCCTCACTAACTTTAAGCATCAGTTGTCAGAGCACCTTACCGATCACTGCACCTGTACACAGCCCATCTGAAATTAGCCCACCCAACTACCTCATCCCTATATT